GCCCACCGGGACGGAGCCGCCCCCCCCTCCCGGCGTCTGCCGCAGGGACAGGGGGACCCCCCTGCCCCATGGCCGGCGCTGGGATGTGAGTGTCTCGGTTCAAAGCCACCTGCAAGGAGCAAATTCCTGCCGCTGAGTGCCCTGTCCCCTTCCCGAGAGCAAAGTTTCTGCCGAGAACAAACACTCGCCATGTACCTCGGAGTCACGGATTCCCCCCCCCCCTCCCACCATCCCCCCCGGAATGTCTCTCCGGGTCTTTTCAGCTTAATTCTGTGTTGAAAGGGGTCTCAACACACGTTAACAGCCTTTATGTGCTGGAGGGAGGGGTGTTTTGTTGGGTTTTTTGGTTGGGGTTTTTTTTTTTGGTGTTTTTTCTCTCCCTTCGCCCCATCACTCATCCGAGCCCTCCAAGCAGCACGGGCTGGAGCACTCACCCCGCTTCAAACACACATCCGCGCTCGCCTACAAAGCCGAGCAAATCCGTGCAATAATATAGCTCTTAGTGGGAAGATGAAAAGCAAGGGGCGGGGGGCGAGGAGGCAAGTTGAGCGAAGCAGGGGATGCTGTGCAAGCCAGGACACCCTGCATCTCTACATGAAACGGGGGCGAGCTCTACAATGAAACCCTTAAAGTTTGTGGGGGTGGGATTCTTATCTGAGCCAAGGGAGGAATAAACCAGCGATTGGGGAAAAGGACTCTCAGCCTCCCCCCCACCACCCCCGAAAAAATAGGAAATCAGCACCAAAAAGCGTTGAAAAGCGCTTGACCAAGTGTCCAGAGTTGAAAACACACACGTCGCCAACTTTTTACCCCCCGACTTGGAGAGGAAAATAACTCATGGATAGACATGATGCGGCGCATTTGATGCAAATACCGGTGTGGATGAAAGCCACGGCAGGATGCAGTAAACTGCTCTTCCCTCACTTTTGCTGGCCTGACTGGGATGCTTGGCCTTCTGCAGGACCATTCACTCCAGCGGGCTCCCAGCACACCCAGTAACAGACCGCAAAGGCCCCCTTCACAGCTCCCAGAAAGGCAAAGCCCCTCAATTATCCCGCCGAGGCCACTTCTAGGGACGTGACAAGGTTACCCAACGAGAAAGTTCCCGTGTGTCTATCAGCAGCCATAAAATGCAATTCCAGCGATACACAGGTCTCCCCGAGAGATATAAAACGCAATCCTGAGCTCACTTTGGACTCTCTGGCCTACTGTTTTATGGAAAGAGCCGGGTGTTTGGTTTTCGGCCCCGTTCCCGGCACCAAAGTGCAGCAGCACAAGGAAGTTGAGTTTGATTTATTTTTCCTCCTATCTCCCTCGCACACCTGAGAGGATGGAAATGCTCCTCCACTGATTTACAAGGGAAAGGCGGGGGAAGTCTCAGCTACCGATAAGGCGACAGCCCTGAGCGACACGGCGCTGTCTCGCCCCGCCGCTGCGCGGGGGAGCAGCGGGCGCGGAGGGGCGCGCAGAGGTTGCGGGCAGCGCCGGGGGACTCTCCGCGCTCCGGCCCTGCCAGCACCAGCTCCCGGCTTCAGGCGAAATAAAGAAGAAGAAACGACCTCCTAAAGGACTTTCCTCCCTTTTATACTGCCTGAGCTGGATTGTCAGAGTCAAAAGCCGTGAAGCCCAGACTATTTATTAATTCATTGGGTCGTGTGCCACAAATCAAGCCCAATTCTGTTCAGCCACCGTGAAGCTCAGCAGGGCTGCCTCCACTAACGCTTTGTGTAGAGGCAAAGTTGTTCAACAAGCCCTCTCCTGCCAGCTCCTAATCTCTTCACAAATGAATTGCTTGAAGGAAACACTTAACAGGTACCTGTCAGTGTAAACAACCTGGTGGGCTTCCTAAATGCCAAGTTGATCTCTAAATTCCTCACATCACGCACCGGTTGTGTGCCTGCATTACACGAGATTCTTATTTTATTTCATACAAATTCCAGCTTTATCATACTGACCTGGCCTCCTTATCTCTCCTCCGGATCCAGCCAATGGCTGGGATTGGGGGGG